GCACTTAACAACAACAACAACAACAAAGTGCTTAGATGAAGGATCATACCAAGATGAACAAAACGATACACCTGACCTCAGATATGTTTGATGTGTTTAACAATGCATTAGAGGAGATAAGCAGACATAGATAATACAAGAGGGAGAATTGGGAGAAGGGGAGAATGTGAGTCAAGTTGTTAAGTATGGGCCACTCATACACCTAACCAGCCACTGGCATTGAAATTGTAATGTCATTGTCAACCTATAGAGGTGCTACTTTTAAATCTCAATCCAGGCACAGGAATGAATAAATGAATTACATAGTAGAATGAATGATGTGGCATGGAAGATAGGAGGTGTTGAACATCACCCCAAGACTTTAGGCCTGAGCTATATATCTAAGGCTACCACTTGTTTGAGAAATTACATATTTGGAAGTGTTAGGCAGACAGAAATGATTTATTCTTATTACATTCTTCATTAAGAATGTTATCCCAAACTCATTCATTAAGGAGCTCTGGTGGTGTATTTGTTAAAGCTTTTAGCTGCTAACCAAAAGGTCAATGATTCAAACCCACCAACTTCTCTGAGGGAGAAAGATGAGAAGGTGATCTGCGTCCATAAAGATTTATAACCTTGGAAACTCTGTGGGATGGTTCTTCTCCATCCTATAAGGGTTGCTATGAGTCAGAATCAACTCGATGACAGTGAGTTTGATTTTTTGTTTACGTTAACCTCAGTTGGTATTTGATCAAGTAGTTGAAGATACTTTGCAAAGATTATCCTTCTGACTAAAGATGAAGTTGTATGTAGGAGAAAGTCAAAAGTAGAAAATTATATTTAAACTTTTATGATACGACAGCTTAAACTGAAAAACTGTTCTCTGTTCTTGGGGCTTCTCAACCAACTGACAGTAATGAGAGTTGGCTCAATAATCTGAGACATAGATGTTTTGTTTTAATAATGTCAACGTAATTAGTAACCTATCAAGGAGAGTCTCTTCAGATGAAGGAAAATTGGATGGTTGAGAATCAACAAGCTATTTATATTGAAATATTATGCCACTCTTGAAATTCTGATGGAATTTCCCAGTATTACATCTGGTTCATTTACATATTTCTGCCCAGTTAACTCCAACAAGATTTTATGCTACTTAATTGCAAATTCCATACTATATCAGATTATTTCATTTTTGAAAAATAATTCACACACCATAGAATTCACTTTTTGAAGTGTACAGTTCAGAGCTTTCAGCATATTTCCAGAG